AAGAGGGAAAGTCACAACAAAGCCGATTTGATGGAGGGGAAGTTTTACTCCATGTTTAGAATTTTTCTCGCTTCCACAAGGACTCACCTTGACTACTATCCGCTCTGGTTCGCATAATACTAAAGGAGTTTCCGAGATCTCATTGGGATATTTCACTGCCATAACGGTAGTCCACAATACAGCAGTTACTTTTGATAAGAACATCTGGAAAAGAACAAATATAAGCGATTTCGAAATATCATCTTCAAACGTTTCTGATATATCTACAGATTCAAAGTTTCTTCCCCAGAAAAATGAAGTTATCAGACAAACACCAAAACTAGATAAAGTTGCTAACGACAAGTCAAGAAAAACTGCGGAGAAAACCATTGTTAGTTGATAAAGATTTAGCTGACATCGCCCTGTAAAAACCATTTTTGGGTCAAGTGGTCTAGATCCGCAGAAACGAGAATATGAGAGCGGATGTGTAGCATCTCAAAGAATGAAGGATCCTACAAGATGATATTTGACTGTCTTCTCCGCTTTGGACGAACTGAGAATAAAAAGCGCATATCTCTAGTTCTACAGCGTTACCGTAACAGTACAGTAATCTCTATCTATAGCGAAATAAGAGAGGTGAATGTGTAGTTCCGGGATTGCCACACGAGGTGTTTGTGGCACAAAGCTTGAGACACCGCTTGATATAGTGGTGCCGGCGGCGGTGGAAGCCATCGTCGAGGGTGGAGGCGATAGGCGGCGCCACTTTGCACCTCTAGAGAGGGACACGGCCACTCTAGGACCGTTGGCGTCGTCATCGGACTCGTTGTTGCTGTCAAAAGTCATCTCTAAAGCACCCGGTTCTGAGAAGTGGTTGAAATTCTCAAGTTAAGCGATGACGTTGAAGCCGCTTTCCTTGTAGAGCATCGAAAGTTATGTAAGAGACGTAGCATTCAAGAGAGGAGAGAGAGCCTTGATCGCGCATATCTATCAGCACTTCATCAACTTGCATAAGGACGAAGCTGAAAAAGAATCAACGCATGTATGTATATATGTATGTGCAGATGTATGGATGAATGGATGGATGGAAAACGTTTCGTAGAGATCGTTGCATCATGTTGATTTATCATATTGAGTGTTTTATTTTGTTGTTTTGAGCTTTGCAGTTTAGCCGATCGTGTCGCATGTGGTCAAAGCTTTCGATAATGTCAGAGAGAATTACTAACAAGGAAGGGATAACTGGTGGCCGTAACCTTCTGACATATTGGTACACATCGCAATGCTCTCCTTGTGACCTCAAAACCATGCTCCTTATCCGGGAACGCTTTTCTGAAAAAAATAGCGCTTGTAAAAGCAACGCAAAAATATTGCACCGACAAAGATTAAACGGGCATCCATTATGCAATAATCAACAACGCTGACCGTTAGACCATTCGACACATTTATCACGTACGAAAATTACTGTACTCTTACGCAAACATGTCAGATGGGAGGAGACAATGCTTTTCTGAATGATCGATCCGTACATAATGAATATAGTATTAAGACAGCGTTTCAAGGCGAATGTCATGACATATGTCACATATCGAAAGGCCACGTCCACCATGTATCCTTGCTTCGTTAGACTGACGAGGAAAGGACCCTAAGTCGAAGCTTTCTATATGAATCATATATCAATCGAAAGAGCATCAA